AGTTTAGATTCCTGAGGACAGTAACACAGTTACCTGTCACATAACTGTGCATCGTGGCCATCAAATGTTACTTTAAATGACAACTGATTTACTTGGCATGTTCATGGGATCAGTGAGATAACTTGTCGCACTGCAGGCTGGATGGATTGTTAAATATTGTAAAGGTGATTACTGAATTTAATATAGACAGTAGCTCCACCGACTTGTGTATCATCGTGCGTAGATGACAATTCACGTCTCAAAAATTGATGGTTGCCAAACATACTTCATCTTGTATTGAAATTGTTAAAGGCATATTGACTTTTTTCTCATTTTAACAAAATAATTCAGGATATTTTTATTCGTCTAATTGGTCATAATTAACATACAAAGTCACATAAAATCACCAACATTTTGGAGATTAAAAAAATATTGTGTATCCCAGTCCTGGGCTGGCTTTTTTTTTTTTTATTGTTAATTGAACTGATGTGATTGAATTAAAAGCAAATGTGTCTCAATTTTAGCCACAATTACATGTACTGGCATATGAATGTAATCTGTTACTAAACCTGATCATTATTATTATCACATCAATAGCCATGAATAGATCTGTACAAGTATTTAGTATTTTTATCCTATTTGGCCAGTGTTAGCATAACTATATACCGGATTCGGCTGATACCCCGCCCATGGGCAATATTTCAAATAGTGGGCGATGTTTTGGTCCACACATTGCCTGACTGAACCAACAAACATTTTACAAACCCCAATTTTCCCGTTCGACATTTAAAAATGACGCTAAAATTCACTGTGAAGTCGAAAAGCATTAAAACTTCAATAAAACCAATGGCTGTATATGAATTGTTGTTGCGTATTATGACTCGTTAAAATACATTTCACTTACGTTTATTACACTCGAATAAAGTCTACGCCTGAAAAGAATGTTATTTACGAAGTTTAAAATATTCAAGCTTTCCGGATTCGAGCCTCTTGGTTGTTATCAGCAATGTTTAATCTTTGTCTGTATCGCATTCCAGACAAAATGACATGATTATTAAAACACCTGAGTTAAGCAGTCTTGTATGTTCTATAAATCTAACCTTGTACACATAATCTTGTACTGACGTGTTTTTTGTCCAAAAAAGACGTTCCCTTTTAGTTAACCCCCATGGTATTTGTGAGAGTTGAAGGATTTTTTGAACACATGACAAGTAACTATATTGATTTGCGTCAAGCTGGATGGCCCGAATTTAAATATCAGTGCGTGAACTCTTGAGGTCATTGCCCAATGCCGCACTAATTCAAACGCGTGGTTATTAGAGTTCAGTCGAAATGTACGTGAATATTGCGATTGAAGTGCGCTGTCCAGAGTTTATTACATTATAGTAAAATTTAACTTAAAACATGGTATGGTTTATATTACATGTTCACTTCATTTCGAATAAAAAAATCACCATTGGAACATCGATGAATCACAAGTATTTAAAATATCGCATCAAGTTTCGCAAAGTACTTGAAGTTCAATTGCGTCCCAAAATTATGTCGCTATCACTCAGTTGTCGCAGCATGTGTTGTGTCATGTCCATGATGCACCCCGTTTCGACTTTGACTTGCTTTTCCTTCTTAGTGCATGTTCTTGTTCACGTAAAATGCGACCTCTCACCAATGTATAAAAATACTTTGAATTTATACTTTGCATGATTATATTTGGTCGACGCGAAACATTATTTTTTCTAGAACATTTTTTTCTAGACCATTTTTATCAACGCAGGGTTATTTTTCCAGACAAGATGGGCCTCGTAATATCTGCCAAAAGATCGCCCGGGCGTTCTTTTGGTCCACATTTTTTAAAAAAAAAAAATCGAATCCTCTATACGATCGCCTAGGGTGGGGTATCAGCCGAATCCGGTATATGTATTCCAATTTTAATAATCATTTTGATTGTGTGCAAGATATTTTTTTAATTTCTTGCGCAAGTTTGATGATACACAATATAATACGCTATGATGAATTGTGCAACCTCAATACAAATTTAGGTCTTGTGATCTACTCACTATTTTGATATCATAATTTTACCATCCCTCAATGCACCTTCAAATTCAGTTTAGTTATTATTCTATTTTTTGTTTTTTTTAATTTACTGCACTTCAGTAAATAACTGTAGAATATCGAACTTCCTCAGTGGAAAGTACTAATAGTGTGTACACCACTTGAATATAAACTTCTAATGTGATACACTGCCTGTTTAGTCGTGTCTGGCATGGCTTTATCACATATCAAGATTAATTTTTTTGGAATGGTCAAATTATTGCTTGCTTTTTACTTCATCATCATGCTCTTTTATACTTGCCTGAATGATACAAATTATTTCCTAAGAGTAACTATGGAACAAATAGATTTTGAGGATTTTAAATTCAATGGAAAAGAAGATATCTGGTGTACACATATATATATATATCTGACAATAGGGATTAACTTGTGGCCAGGCTGCAAGACATGGGCCTTTATATAGTACCTGCTGTAGGACATAGTGTAGTGCACATCAAGTCAGTGTTCTTTGTGACTGGTATGAAATAATAATTGTTCACAAAAACTTGAATATGCGGTTTGTAATGTTGGAATTGTCTTCAGTAATTTATCTTCTACTTTTTATTACTTTTCTCAACAGATTTGTATTTGTTTTTAATAGATTGCAGTTTAGATGTAGGATAAGACTGGTACATGTATATCGATATGAATACTGTGACAACAACTCATGATATACTCTCTTTTATTTCTTACTAACAGGGCAGCGCAACCAGGGCAACCAGGAGCAGGAGCAGTGCCAAATAAAAGGCTGCAACAGACACAAGCTCAAGTAGATGAGGTAGGCTAATAATGTTGCATACATAGACAGTTCCGAAAGAGTTTGTAACCCCCCCTTCATCTGAGGCCTTAACCCTTACACTCTAGCCCATCAGTGTAAGTGTACATGTCCATCCAAATAACTATACATGTCCTGAGGAGGGGCCTACATAATTGAAAATTGGGGGTGGGTAGGTTTAGAGTTATGGGTCAGAGGCCTCTAATTCAGACTTGAATTTTTAGGCTAAGTGTTTTCAAATTTCTCCACTTGCAATTATAATTGCAGTCTATGTAAGTAAGTACACAAATGACTGCTTGAATCTCTGCTACCTGGCAAATAAACACAGTAGTACATGTATTGGGAATGTCACACTATCATTTTGTTTTTAAATCAGATTTATGAAGTGAATGATATTATATGTTTAACTACTCTTCGTGATAGGTCATTACTTTGTAATGCTCCTTTTGTATACAGACTTAATCATTTTCTTTTTATCATTTAATTTCTTTAGGTTGTTGATATTATGAGAGTAAATGTAGACAAGGTACTAGAAAGGGATCAGAAACTCTCAGAACTGGACGATCGTGCAGGTAACTTTCTATCTCTGTTGGCAGTACATAGTAGATTTGATTTTGTTTAAACTGATACATAATAATATAGCAGTGAAAAACATGTCTAATCATAGTTTTTCTATGATTATACTGTAAAAAGGTTAATTATTCACTGGGTTTTACTCTTGCTTATTTCGTGCTAAATTAAAACCCAGTGAATATGCCTGAAATGGTAAATCAGCGAAATTTAAACCCAGTGAAAATTAGTCATTTTACAGAACAAATGGCACTGTGGAAACAATAGAATTCAACTGACCGCAAAAACATGTACGGATGTATTTGAAATTGTAACAATTACTTTTGACATCACAAATCGAATCATGTCGCTGTACACAGTTAATTATGCAGAAATGATACCAATCTCATAAATTCTATTTGCTTTTACTGTTTTATCTCGCTAAATTATAACTACAAGCATGTACAAGATCTATAATAATAAGGTTGTCATAAAAATATAGCCAATTATGCAATATGAGATTGCTCTGACCTCAACTCTGTGTCAGTTAATTGTGTATCACCACACTGCCTTCAATAATAATTTACTGTATTCTTGTTATAACCTGATATTTTTATATCTCAGATGCATTACAGCAAGGTGCATCACAGTTTGAGACAAATGCTGGTAAGCTGAAGAGGAAGTATTGGTGGAAAAACCTCAAGATGTGGTTGATCTTGATAGCAGTTATTGTGGTTATCATAATAATTATTGTCAGTAAGTATCAACAAAACTGTTTATATATCTTTTGTTTGTTCTCCTGATGCAAGCATTTTGTCGTTATCAATGTCATTTGGTCATCAGGTAGACGTTAGTATAACTGCAGTGGAAATTTGAAAAACCTTACAATGTTGTGGAGTGATAGGAAATACATTGATAGCAACGTACACATTTAAGGAATATTGCTGTTCGTGTATGAACAATATCTTGTCTGTGATAAATATTATTTCCTTTTTTGTTGTGTAAATTTTAAGATTAGGCAAAACATTTTGAAACAATCTGCTTTCAATCCTGATTTTGTCTTACTGTCAACTCAAAAGTTCATTAGTTCCAATGCACCCCCCACCCCCAATTTATTCGAAATACATTTTAAATTAGTCTCAGCCATTTAGTGCCAAAAGTAACATAATTTGAATATAATTCCCCATTGTTAACTGATGAAGGGGGTAACAAAAGCCAGGATTAACAACTGAATAGCACAAAATGTTGCTGTAATGGCCTATGTGTGAGTAATTGCATGGTTGGGAAGGAAGGTAAAGAAGATTTTACTTTCTTGCTGTAGATCCAGGATTGTTGATCTACATCCCAACCTTTGATCACTTCTGTTTAAATAACATGATTCAGGATATTAAAGCATGGTGGTCGTCGCGCAGTGCGTGTTCGAATTTCATGTAAATAAACAATGTATTTCACATGTGTTGTACATGTATACGTCGCTATAAGTCCAATATCGAACAGGACGCAGCACGACGACTGCCGCCCTTTAAAGTGAAAACTTTTTGTGAAACTTCGTAATGTAAATGGGATATACCTTGCATAGCCAGGCTTTGCGTATTTTATCCTATGCTAAATGCTTTCTTGCTATGTCATTTTGTATCAGTTTGGGCAACACAGGGATAAGGTCATGTGTCTGGGTAAGCACACAAAATGCATGGTATTTTTCTAGCTCTGTATGTATGTATGTATGTATGATAATGTCTGCAATATGTTAGTGCATGAAAGCCCTCTCCTCTCTTACATATGTATTTCTAATGTATCAATGTAACATATACTGTATATTCTTTAAACTTGTACTCTGTGGAGTTTCTTTTTCGTCTGTTGGTTTGAAAGTACCGGTAGTATTTGATATATTTAGCCGCTTATGGGAATCGTTGTTATTTGTATCTTGGTGATTGTGTACACTTGCTATGGAAGTTTATTGTGAAAATCTGGACAAAAAGTTTAGTAATACACTGTAGGTATATGGTTAGCTCAAAATGGTTCAAAGCAATTATGTTTTGTGGTTCACCATATTTGATTAGTCAGAGGCAATTCAGTTTCTAATTTCACATTACGGATAAGGGAAATCCACTTAATTGCAGTTAACATGTCAATTTACAATAGAACAGAAAAATCTGCAAATTTAAGACAATAAATATGGTAAAATATCAAAACAATTAAATATCAGTAAAAATGAATGCATTTAATTATCCTACAACAGATGAATTATTTGTGATATTTACAGAGTGCAACTTAAATTTGTTACTAAAGTTTTACTCTGACATTTTACGTAATAGTGCAAAACTTCCCATAATGCTTCAGGACATATTTCAGAGTACAACTTTAAGTGAGTGTAGAAATGGTCAATGATGCAACATACTTGTATTGAAAAACAGTTAGTGATGAAGTGTCCTACAATATCCTCTTGGTAGTAAACTAGACACCTGGTCTGTAGTGAACTCCATGTTTTGAGAGTCTTGTATAATGTATGTTATCTGATAATTCACACAGCAGTAATGCCGGGGTCCAATTTATACATTAGTAGCGTTCATGCACATCTCCTTAGCACAGGCTAAGAGGTCAAATACCTTAGCTTTTGTTTTATAACTGTAGAACTAACATGTATAGCTTCCTAGTTACTGTACAGAGTAGTCCTAGTTAAAATGACTGAAGATTTTTGTATATTCTTAATGAGTTTGGGCATTCCTTAGCCCATGCTAACCACGGTTTCTATTCGATATGTAAACATACAAGATTAGCTTAAATCCTAGCCCGTACTTCGTGTAGCGTGAACACTACTATTGTCTCTGTTGATTCCAACATTGCCATGACATATACATCCACAGTCAGCTGGCGCACACGTGATAATAAAATAAATACGATATTTACTACATGGGGGCCGCCATCTTGAATGCAGCATAAAAGTACCGAGGTAAATAAGACTGTGTATACATCTGACATATATCTGTGATAATCATTCACTTCGATTGGTGTTTAACCAATAACTTGTTATTGGTTTTGCAGCATTGTAGACAAAACATAAACAAGGTTTTGTCAAAATGAACACTCTCATCCAAGGTGATACCCCAGCTGCTTCCATCTGTTTTCTCCATTTCACTATCGAAAAATACAAAAGGGAAATGTGTCTGTAACCACGTCTCCTAACAAAACTGCTTGTGGGTGATCAGACTCCATTGCTATTCTTTAAATTGACTGTCAGTGATAGTACTTTAATTCAGGCACTCGTATGTAAAGTTTCATTCAACTTTTGAATCAGTTTGCAAATAATTAGCTAGTATGCCAAGCAACATGGCAGACCATCTACTATGCAACATTGCCTGTACCTGTGGTTTATCTGGAATCTTGCAACATGCTTCTTAGTGAGCTTTCTAATTGTGGAGTGAAGCCTGTACACATATCTTAAAATAGAAAACTTTCTATCAAATGCAAATTTACCCATTAACTAGACCTGATACAGTTGTCTGTTATTACAGATGCTTGCTTGATGATCTGGGCCAAAAATGTAAAATGCATACTGGTATCAGTAGTTCTTTCCAAATTTGACTTTTATACTGACGTTATATACACAAATTTGACACCAGTTGACAAAACTGAATTCATTATTTTATGAAGTATACCATGTCTTTGTCAGATCTTTATATTCACCTATTTATA